CTTATGATCTGTATAGACGAGAACCGTTCGACTAGGTCCTTCGAGGTAGTGACGCCATTGCTTGAAGGCTGACACAATTCCTAGCATCTCCTTATCCCAGACGTCGTAATTGAGTTCCGCTGGGTTAAGCTTTCGAGAATAAAAGGCAACAGGGTGAGTCTTTCCGTCAATAACCTGGGATAAGATTGCGGCGATAGCAAAATCGCTTGCGTCCGTTTCCACGATAGTCTGGCGATCTGGAGAGAAGTGTACCAAGATCGGCGCAGACGTAAATAGGGTTTTGAGTTTTTCGAAGGCTGCTTGGGCCATCATAGACCAGACAAAGTTCTTAGCATCACCCCTGAGACAATCGGTAATGGGTTTACAGACCCCGGAGAAATTGTGGATAAACCTTCTGTAGAAGTTGGCAAAGCCCATGAAGATCTGTACTTCCTTAACGCTACGCGGGGCTTGCCAATTCGTAACAGACATAACCTTATCCAGTGCCATGGTGACGCCTGCTGGGGCAAGGATGTATCCGAGGAACTCGATTTCAGTGAGCTCGAAGAACGATTTCTTCGGGTTGGCGACCAGGTTGTATTCTTGTAGCCTACTAAGGACTTTGCCGACCAACTCCCTGTGCTCCTCTCGAGACTTGCTATATATTAGGATATCATCTAGGTATACTACTACACCTTGATCCAAGAATTCCCTCAGGGCATCATTCATCATGTTCTGGAAGGTCGCCGGTGCATTTGCCAGCCCAAAAGGCATGACGAGGTACTCAAAATGCCCGTACCGCGTACGAAAGGCTGTCTTCCACTCGTCGCCGTCTTTGATCCTGATAAGGTTGTAACCTTCCTTCAGGTCAATCTTCGAGAAGATAACCGCGCCTGCCACTCGATCTCGTAGTTCGTCCATAAGTGGTAACGGATACCTGTTCTTGATGGACACGCGGTTAAGTCCACGGTAGTCAACGCAAAGTCGTAGACTACCGTCCTTCTTCTTCACAAATAGAATTGGGGCTCCTGCCGGGGATTTGCTCGGCCTAATCTTTCCCAATCGCAACATTTTGTCCAGGTACTCCCGAAGCACCTTCAGCTCGACTTCGGATAGGGAGTAGACGGGTCCCCATGGTGGCTGTTTGCCTGGTTCAAGATCTATCGCATGGTCGTAGGATCGATGCGGTGGTAATTTGTCGGCTTCCGACGGTAGGAAGACTTTAAGGAACCCATGGAGCCAAGAGGGAAGAGTTTCGCGGAGGTTAACCGATTCATCTTCCAAAAGACAAATGCTACCGATGAATTGGGCCTCCGGATCGTCCAATACACCCTCGTCCATTTCTATTTGAGGTTCCTTGTCAGTAAAGCATCGACTCTTACAGTTCTCACCATCGTAGGAGACTTCCCCATTTGACCTTATAACCGGCTTGTGTTCTTTCAACCACCAATTCGGTAGTATTGCATCGATGCCAACCGGGAGAGGGGCGATCTCGAATGATAGCTGTGTTTGATGCCCCCTTGACATTATAATTAATGGTTGTGTAAAGGCGTGTCCCGTGCCCTTCATAACTTCTCCCGTAAATCCAAATACCCGGGCCGGGACGTCTCGTTTCACCTTCGGGACCTCAAAACTATCAACAAAAACAGCAGACAAAACAGGACCAGTTGCACCAGTATCCAACAACACCTTACAAGGTAAACATTTTTCCGCAAAACAAAGGAACTGATTAACGATAGGTCGAGGACCATGAATAGGTTCCTCCAAAATTTTCTGTTTTTTCTCCGGTTGGGACGCTCTCCCTTCCTGCCTTTTTCTTTTCATATTTTTTTTGTTGTTTTCCGTCAGTGATAACATAGCAATCTGGGGATACTCCTGACCTGACTCATCAGAGTCCCCTTTTAAAAATCCTCATCGAAATCCATCTCAGATTCCGATCCGCGTTCTCGCACAAACGCTTGCCCACTGGTGTACTCCGCAGCAGCCGTAGCAGCCGGCTTTCTAGCGCGGTGCCTCATACGCTTCTTCTGAGGTTGGGGTTCTGGTGGTTCCATATCGTGGTCGCCATCGTCATCGCGGGTACGCTTTCGGGAGAAAGAGGAGATAGATGCACTGCTGTTAGCATCAGAACGACACCATTTCCAAAGATGACCCTTCCGGCCACATCGCACACAGACTCCATCGGTCTTTCGCTGTTCTCGGACCGGCTGTGGAACTCCTTTGGTAGCTTCGTCGTAGTCGTGGTATATTGGCTTGTTCCCCGACTTGTTCTTGCTGGTGCTCTTCTTATCTTGCCCTTTTTCCTTCTCCTCGGTCTGAGCCCTCCCCTTGATCTTAAACCCCTTTTCCTTCGGCCGCGAGTTCCCACCATTGTTCGACTCCCTTCCTCTCGACTCTGCTTTCCCCAACATCTTCATCTGCTCTTGATAAGCTTCATGAGCCTTGCCGGCTCGTTCCAACTGTTGGATGTACTCGGAGTCGTCATCGGTTGGATCGAAGCGTGAGTGGCGCTCCCGGATTTCATTTGGTAGCCCTTGGAGCAGGGCAGCGCGATAGGATGCTCCTTTCATCTGAGCATGCTGGTTCATGATCTCCATTCTCGTCAGATAGTCCCCGATGTTAGCAGAGTACTTAAACTGCTGCATTTTCATCGCGTTTTCCATAGCCTCCTGAGTGCTTAAGAAGCGTTTCCTGATCTCCTGACGGAACCGAGTCCAAGTAGCGTAGTCGGCAGCTGCCGGACCTAGCATCTTGGTCTCGATATACTCCATAAACCATTCCTTTGCCAACCCACACGTATACGTTCCAGCGAACAGCACCTTGTTTCTGTCCGTTCGGAACTTCTTGGGCTTCTGCTCGAAGTAGATCTCGCACTCCATGAGCCAATGCCGCAGGTTGTGCTTCCTGGCATTATCGAACTCAAAGGGTATTTTGGCAAGCGAGTCTACCATATCGTCATCTTCAGGCGGCGCCGAGTTCCGGTTCCCGCCTCGATTCCTTCTCCAATTCTTCCGACCGTGCGACCATTCACTGTTATCGTCGTCATCGTCGTCGGAAGGTTCTGGGTCTCCCCCAACGTTTCCTCTTGGTGGGTTTTGTGGAGGTTGATTCCCACCATTCCCGCCAACTGGAGCAGCTCCCACCGGTCCTCTGCCATTATTGCCCTGCACTGGGCCGGCATCCTCCGGTTGCCTGCCTCCATTTCCTCCTACTGGACCAGCGTTTCCTCCTACTGGGCCAGCATTTTCGGGTTTCTTGCCATTGCCAACAGGAACCGTTCGGGGTGCATTAGGATCTAAGGGAGCACTTGCCACAGAAGGTGCTACTGACAGATGTTGTCGCAGTAGTTCCTCCATCTCGGCTATCCGTTGGTTTCTTTCCGCATCGGACCGCTTGAATTCCGCAAACCAAGCTCGTTGCTCCCCTTTTTCCTGCTCTCGCTCTTCTCTTACCATCCTCAGTTGTCGCTCCGCCTCCTGTAACTGGTTCTGGGTTTGCAGATGACTTTGCTCCAGAACCTTGTGGTCGGCGGCTCGTGCAGCTTCATGTACTTGTTGGACACTGGAGACGAGTTCAAAGAGCGATTCCAGATGTTGTTTTTGGGCAATGGCTTCTTGTCGCACCTTCTTATCCAGGATTTGCCCACTCCCTTGGACTTGTTCCTGGAGGTTTTGTAGCTGCTGCCAAACGGCCTGTCCAGCTGCACCAAGATACCTCATTTGTGCCTCATGGGTATCCAAAAACTCCTGCATATTCCTCACGAACTGGGCTTGAGCAGAGCGTTTACTCGATTGCCTAGTTGTTGTAGAGGGTCCTCCCGTCAATAGGGGGTCTGGGCTAGCAGCCCTTGATATCACCATAGAATCTTCTCCTCCGGCCTCCTCAGTTACGGCCGAGTTATCTATGAAGTAATTATCCCTTCGGGTAGTCATTGTGATAGGGGATAACGATGATAGTTCTTTTCTTTGAGGTGACTTCGTTACTCCAAGTGAACTTGTGAGTAACAATATACTGTGAGGGATGCGTACCAGACCGCAAGAGTACACTACGCAGAGCTCAGAGTTCGGCTAACAGCTACAAAGGTAGAAGTCTCCAAGGTCTCTTCAGTCAACGTCGAGTATGATTCTCCTTGATCCGATACGGGCCCCGCGAGCTACGTTATCAACAAAGATTCACTAGAGTTAGCGTATAGAATTCGACCGTCTTCGACGTAATAGTTCAGGTAGAGTTCGAAGTCACGATAGAGTAAAGTGTTTCCAAAAGTATAGTCAAATAAAGTTGTAACTCGCGTATCAACGATTTATATTGTTAAGACTCTGATTTCGCCGATGATGGTTTGGCTAGTCAGTGAATGACACAGTATTTATATCCCTCGCTTATGTCTTGAGGACCCAGTCTACTAATAATACAGAATACACTCGGGGCATGCCCGAGACCCTGAAAAACAACCAAGAACATTTAACTCCTAAATCCGTAACCCAAACTCCTAAATCCGCTGAAACCCCTCAACCTATTTATCCACTCTAATGCACGTTCCCCTGTCGATGTTTCTTCTCCATCGGCCGTCTGGTGGATAATCGTCAGCGTCGGCTATTCGGAGGTCTCGGACGGCAAGGCTACCTACTCAGGCCTCTTCCCACATCGCTTTCCCACATAGCAGAGTCCTCTCATGCCCACAGGTACCGCCGATAGGTACTCGGTCGGCTGGCAGCTTTGCGCCGATTCGCTCCGAGCGGTCCGATCTTCGATCCGATTGATTCCAGCTGTCCCTCATATATCCACCGGTACCAAAACACTCCCCTCCGGCGGTTTGACGCTCCGGGGGTTATTATTGGGGTCGAAAACGTGTTTTTTATGACTCTGGGTTTTTTGGTCGTAATTTGGTCGCACCACACTTCGCGAGTGTGGTCAAGAGTTGATATTAGCGTACAGAGGGTATTGGGGTATCTACTAGCCTTTCTCTCACTCCCGTAAATGCTTGGCATGCCCGTAACACCGACCATCCCATGACATCGAGATAGTACTGGAAGAAGGCAAACGACCACCATATGGACCTATATATGGATTATCTCAAATTGAGTTAAAAGCACTACGAGAATATCTTGATGAAAATCTACCCAAAGGATTTATTCGAGCCAGTGAATCACCAGCGGGAGCACCCATACTATTTGTAAAGAAAAGCGATGGAACCCTTCGACTCTGTGTTGACTATCGAGGCCTAAATGCGATTACAATCAAAAATCGATATCCATTACCATTGTTGAAAGAAACCCTGGCTAAGTTGTCAAGAGCACAATACTATACTAAATTGGATTTACGATGGGGATATAATCAAATCAGGATAGCGGAGGGAGATGAATGGAAAACGGCATTTCGAACTCGATATGGACATTTCGAATATACAGTAATGCCATTTGGATTGGCTAATGCCCCTGCAACATTTCAACATTGGATCAATGATATTTTACGTCCCTATCTCGACCAATTTGTAACGGCATACTTAGACGATATCCTTATCTATTCCGAAACTCTACCAGAACATAAAGAACACATTCAAAAGGTTCTAAAGGTACTTGATGAGAATCATGTTCACCTTAAACCTGAAAAATGTGAATTTATGGTTCAGGAAACGAAATATCTCGGTTTAATTCTTACTCCGAATGGAAATAGAATGGACCCAAAGAAGGTTATTGATGTTTTGGAATGGACCACACCGACAAATCTTCGTGATGTTCAAGTATTTCTAGGATTTGCAAATTTCTATCGGCGATTTATTTTAGGATATTCGAAAATTGTTGCTCCACTTACAGCCTTGACGAAGAAGAATGTTAAATTTGATTGGACGGATGAAAGGGAGGAAGCATTTCAAACTTTGAAAAAGATGTTTACAACGGCGCCAATCCTAGCTCATTTTAATCCGGATCGAAAAATTGTGATAGAAACCGATGCATCCGACTATGTTTCAGCAGGAATCCTATCTCAACGTGACAACGAAGGAATCCTACATCCAGTTGCTTTCTTTTCTAAGAAACATTCTCCTGCAGAATGCAACTACGAAATCTATGACAAAGAACTTTTAGCAGTTATACGATGTTTCGAAGAATGGCGACATCACCTGGAGGGAGCTCAATTTCCAATTGAAGTTCTTAGCGACCATCAAAATCTTGAATATTTTATGACAACAAAATTGTTAAATCGTCGACAAGCCCGTTGGTCTGAATTTCTTTCACGCTTCGATTTCGTTATACAATTTCGACCAGGAAAACAAGGAACAAAACCAGATGCATTGACTAGGAGGTCAGGTGACCTACCTAAAGAGGGGGATGAACGGTTGACGCATCAGAGTCAAGTGATTCTGAAGCGAAAAAATTTGGATACTAAGCTAAGTTTGTTCGCGGGTTCTTTGTCAAATGAATCCGCTGAAGGAGCGTCCACTGTAGAGGAGTTATTTTCAAAAGCTTACCAAGTGGATAATTTCCCAAATAAGATCCTCGCTATGCTCCGGAATGGCGTTCGTCACTCGAATAAGATTTCACTCGCCGAATGTGCAGAAGATAACAACGGTCGGCTACTTTATCGAGGCATGCTATATGTACCAGACGACGATGACCTTCGACTAAGGCTTTTAAAAGAACACCATGACAAACCATCTGCAGGACATCCGGGTAGAGCGAAGACTCTGGAGCTCCTAAGTCGAGAATATTACTGGCCACAGATGCGAAAGTTCGTCGATCAATATATCAGGAATTGCAATGTGTGCATCCGTAGTAAGGCATCACACAATGCACCTTATGGAGTACTTCGCCCCATGCCAATCCCCGATGGGCCCTGGACAGACGTCTCGATGGATTTTGTGACTGATCTTCCTGAGAGTGATGGGTATAATGCGATTTTGGTCGTGGTAGATAGACTAACCAAGATGCGGCATCTGATACCGACGACAAAGGAGGCGGATTCACGGGAAGTAGCAAGGCTATATATTGATAACGTCTGGAAACTACATGGATTACCCGATACTATGGTACCCGATCGAGGAACACAGTTCGTCGCGGAATTCTGGAGGTCCCTTTGTGATCGATTGGAAATCTCGCCAAAGTTCTCTACTGCATTCCACCCCCAAACAGATGGACAGACAGAAAGGATTAATGCCATAATGGAACAATACCTCCGAAGCTATGTTTCCTATCAACAAGACGACTGGGTCCGATGGCTACCGATGGCTGAATTTGCAACCAACAACCACGTTTCCGAAACAACAAAAGTTTCCCCCTTTTATGCTAATTCGGGAAGGAATCCTAGGATAACATTTGGGCCTTTGGTGTAACGGAGCCATTTCAACTGTCTGGTGTATGAGTACACACAGGGCCCGGTTACATGCTGAGAGTTATTGTTAGAAGCCAGTTGCACGGTGACATGCAAGTGCCGGCAGTGTGGTTAGCTACCAGCTGTTAGAGTAACTACATTCCGGGCGCTAGGAAGGGGATCTATTCATGGGAGCAATGACTGACGAGTCTATGCCTCGCCAGCGACTAGAAGACCGGCCAGAGTGAAGCTCTGATTGCCCGGCGATCCTCTATATCCTCTGAGCATGATAAGTCCGCCGAAGGGTAGGGACTATGTGTAACGGGGGTCCTTTCTAAGAGAAATAGATTTGTATAGAATAGAGACGGCCGTGCAAGATAGACAATCAGGTTGCAGATTATTCAAAGATACGATCGCTAGAACTCAATAATCTTTAAGGGCTCTGCTACCGATAAGAACTTGGGTTTTTCTTTCTGATGAAGACTGGAGAGAATAGGACTGAAGGGCGAGAATGAACCTGAGTACTTATACTCCGAAGGCCTCTATTCTCTGCTCCTAACTCCTTTACTAAGTTCCGGTGGGCCTTCCCTCAGTACCGGAAACAATACCACCGCTACCCCGCTTTTCTCTAAGCGTCAGCAGGTGTTTCCGATACCCAAGGCAACCACCCTTAGTCAAAGCCTTTGTAACACCTGCAGCCTTGGTTGCCACACAACCGAGGACCTGCATGAATGAGCTGCCGCTCAGGTGTAAGCTTAATCATTGCTGTAGAGCTTTTTACTTATTGTAGACTTCCCTAGCATAGTCCCTGCCCTTCGGCGGACTCACAATGCTCAGAGGATACAGAGGATCACCGGGCAATCAGAGCTTCACTCTGGCCGATCTTCTAGTCACTGGCGAGGCATAGACTCGTCAGTCATTGCTCCCATGAATAGATCCCCTTCCTAGCGCCCGGAATGTAGTTACTCTGACAGCTGGTAGCTAACCACACTGCCGGTACTTGCATATCACCGTGCAACTGGCTTCTAACAATAACTCTCAGCATGTAACCGGGCCCTGTGTGTACTCATACACCAGACAGTTGAAATGGCTCCGTTACACCACTCCCCTCTTCCAGGATCTTGGTCTCCGAGATCTATAACCATTCTATTACCATACAATCTATATGACAAGAAACTCCGTGATATGCAAGGAACAAAACCTAAGGAAAAAATCTACACCCCAACAATCCGCTTGTCCTTGGGTTTCTTAGGATACCTCATATGGAAATCCCGAAGGGCTTCTTCAGCACTCTTCTTGAGATGCTCCCAAGGTTCCCATGTAGCATCCTCGTTTTCATAACCTTCCCACAGCACTAGGTATTCCACTCGTCTCCTTTTCTTATTGACCCGGCTGTCAGCTACTTCTCGGACAACCCAGTTCTGTTCTCCTTCAATCTCTTCTGGCTCCGGTACAGGAACTCTTCTCTCAGGATCTACCGGTGCTCGGTAAGGTTCCAGAAGAGAGACGTGAAAGACCGGGTGGATTCCCATTTGAGGGGGAAGAGAGAGCTTGTAGGCACGGGTACCAATAGCTTCTAAGACCTTGAAGGGTCCCATCTTCTTCTGATCCAATTTCCCCAAAGGCCGCTTTGTTTGCACATTGCGCCGGTCCAACATAACTTCATCTCCGGGCTTGATTTCAGGTGGTGCCAGGGCATGAGCATCATACCATCGGGCCATCCTTAATCTAGCTTTACCCAAGCTGGCGTTCATAGCCTGCCAGATAGATTCCCATTGAGAAATCATGACCTCACTTGCTGGATTGTTCCATTCTACTCCTTCCTTTGGGGCCGGCCAGTTGGTCCTGGGTTCATATCCATAGTTGGCATAAAAAGCCGATACTTTGGTAGACTCAGAGACCGCCGAGTTATAAGCATAGTCTGCCAAAGGCAAGAGTTCTGCCCAGTCATCCTGTTGATATGAACAATAACTCCGCAAGTAATGTTCCAGGGTCTGATTAACTCTTTCTGTTTGACCGTCCGTTTGGGGGTGGAAAGATGTGGACATCTTCAGCTTCACATTGAGGAGGTTCATGAGAGATTGCCAAAAGTGAGAGATGAACCTGCTATCTCTGTCCGAGACTATGTCATCAGGTAAACCATGGAGTCTCCAAACTTCCTTCAAGAACAATTTAGCCAAATCTTCCGTTTTATTGAGGGTAGGAAGAGGGATGTAGTGTGCCATCTTCGAAAAGCGGTCCACTATTACCCAGATCTTTGTAAACCCACTAGATTCCGGTAGTCCCACAATGAAGTCCATAGAGATGGAAGTCCATGGCCGATAGGGTATCTCCAACGGTTGGAGCATACCAAACTTCTTGTGTCTTGAGGTCTTATTCCTCTGGCAGCTGTCACAGCTCCGGACATATTCCTCAACATCCTTATCCATGTTGGGCCAAAAGAAGTTGTTTTTCACCCGCTCAAGTGTCTTAAATTGGCCAAAGTGACCAGCCACCTTAGAGTCATGGTTATCGGACAGTATTTCCATCTGAAGCTTCTTGTCTTTGGGTATATACCATCTATTCTTGTAGAAGATAAGACCGTTCTTGACCGACAAGTTCTGGTCCAAATTTGGTTTCCTTTCAACCAGGGAGCGGTGCAATTCCTGCCAGAAACTATCCTCTTTAGCAGCCGTGTATAGGCGCTCTAAGAATGTATTCTGCAATTGATTCATCCTGACAGCCGCTAGCTTTGCAGGATCCAAAACCAATTGACCTGGCCTAAAAAAGATCTGTGGCTCCGGCTGCAGAGTTTCACCTCCCTCTCCAAGGCGGTGATCCCAGCGCCTAGATAGCACATCAGTCTTGCCATTCTTTTCTCCCGGTCTGTAGACAACTTTGAAATTGTAGCCTGCGAGGTCTTCAGACCATCTAGCTTGCCGCCTAGTGAGAACCTTGGTAGAATTAAAGTACTCCAAGTTCTTGTGGTCTGTAAAAACCGTGATCTCTTGCTCACAAGATTTGAGCATGTGTTCCCATTCTCGGAAAGAGGCTACAATAGCTCCCATTTCCTTATCATGAATGTCATAGTTGATCTCAGCAGGGGAAAACTTCTTAGAATAGAATGCCACCGGATGTAGCTTCCTATCGTCCCCATACTGAGAGAGCACCGCTCCCTTGGCAAAATCACTGGCATCTGTCTCGACCACCGTTCTCCTACTAGGGTCAAAATGAAGGAGGATTGGAGCGGTTGTGAACAGCCTCTTGAGTTCTTCGAAGGCCTGCTCATGTACTGCCGTCCAATACCATTTCTTGTCTTTTTGCAGGAGGTCAGTTAATGGCTTGCAAACCTTACTGAAGCCTTCAATAAAGCGGCGATAGAAGTTTGCGAATCCGAGGAATGCCTGTACTGCCTTGATATTCTCAGGGACCGGCCATTCCTTAACTGCCTCCACCTTATCTTCTGACATAGATACTCCTTCTTCCGAGATGTGATAGCCTAGATACTCTACTTCTCGGACATGGAAGGATGTCTTACTGATCGAGGCACAGAGCTTAGCTTCCCTAAGCTTCTGTAGTACCTTCTTGACCAATAGCTCATGCTCTTTCTCAGTCTCCGAGTAGATGAGGATGTCGTCGATATAGACAACCACTCCTTCATCCAGTAGTTCCTTCAGCACATCATTGATCATGGCCTGGAAAGCGGAGGGAGCATTGCATAGACCAAACGGCATCACATTATACTGATACAGTCCATAGCGAGTTCTGAAAGCGGTTTTCCACTCATCACCTTCAGCTATCCTGATCAGATTGAAGCCGTTCTTCAGGTCTATCTTTGTGAAGATCTTGGCCTTGAACAACCTGTCTCTGAGCTCACTCATGATAGGCAGCGGGTACTTGTCCTTGACAGTGACCTTGTTCAATCCCCTGTAGTCCACACAAATCCGCAATGTCCCATCCTTCTTAGGAATGAACAGTATGGGCGCCGCAGCGGGGCTATTAGATCTAGAGATCTTTCCTGAAGACAATTCTTTGTCCAGGTACTCTCGGAGGGCCTTCAATTCTGGAGCGGAACATGGGTACAGCGGGCCAAATGGGGGAGCGGTCCCAGGCAAGAGTTTGATCTTTAAATCATTATGGGAATGCGGCGGCATTTCCTCAATCTTCTCTTGACTGAACACATCGGCCCAATCCCGGTATAGGTGGTGTATTTTCTCAGCAATATCACCTCCGTCCTCATCATGCCATACTGAACCAACCAATTGATACACTGTCTCTTCTTCTTCCAACATTTGGTATGGAGAGATCAGTTCGATCTTGGTGGCCGCTGGGAGACAATTCTGCTTGCAGTAGTCACTCCTCCAGCTCATGGTGTTGAGTTCCCAATTAATGTCCGGGTTATGCTTCCTAGCCCAACTAATTGGCAGGTAACCGGTCATTCCTTCTTCCAGTGTGGCCACCTCCCGTCGGAGTGTCTCATTATGATCTCCCATAGTCATACGGACCGGGTGAGTGTAATACTCGCCTCCTCCCATCATGACATCTCCTTGAGCATCAAACATTGTCAGAGGTTGATCCCGCCGCACTAAGGGAATTCCATGTTTCCTGACAAAACTCTGGTTGAGGATAGCTCCTGTACAACCGGTGTCAAACAGGAAAGACCCTTGGGCGCCTTCATCCTTTCCTTTGACCGTCCATGACAGTCTTGCCTTCAGTATAGGTCTTTTTCCATGTACTGGTAAGGAGGGAAGCCTCTGTTCCAACCTTCTTTGCTTAACAGCGGGTTCTGAACTTGTTTCTCTTTGTCTTTTCAACATAGCTAATAGCTTCGGGCACTACTAAGATCAGAGATCCTTTGGTTCTATTCCCAAGCGGTAGTATAGCAGATGTATTGTGTAGTAGTCTTTTTAGCAGCGGGTTGGAAGTGTCTTGGTAGCAAATGTAGCTTTGGTAGAGCACTGACAGACCAGCTGTTTCGGGTCTTAAACCCATCCTCAGAGTGCTTGCAGCAATCAAATAGGCGGAAAACACAATCATAATTTT